TACAGGTTATTCGAGGCTGCGTGAGCAGTCTAAATGCACAGGCTGCACAGCAGTCTCTCCCAGAGTGCCTTTCGGCAGAGCTCCGGAACCTACTGGTCTGCAGCACCCACCGCATCGCCAAGGCCCGCGACATCGCGTCCAAGTACTTGAATCGACTGATCACCTCATTCCCTTCGCTCATGTGCGACCCGCCTCTTGTCTTCGCCATTCTGGAGGTTCTCACACTTCTCCGCCGCGCCTGTGAAAATGAGTTTACGGATGAATACAACCCGACATACGAATTCTACTCAGACCGAACCGGCATCACCCTCCAACTCACGGATAGTTACGCTGTTCGCAACGAAATCCTTGGCCAGCTACATAGGAACGCAAATAACTGGTTCGTGTTGGCTCTCGGCCGCGCCCCCGTGGAGTTGCAGTCCACATTGCAGGTTTGGTCTTCACGTCCGGCATTCCCGAAATGCTGACGTAACTTTAGAAATACCTTTCTGGGAATTCGTCTACTGGTACCGAGTGGACGGAGCTTGGAGCCTCTGTCGCAGAGGAGTTTGGTAAATCCATCGGTCCCGTTCAGCGTCAAACAGGTAGGTCTTTCTGTGCACTCGACTATCCACGAATTGACTCTGCCGAGTGTCCTTGTCGACGCTGTCAAAGTGGAAGACTGATGGCGCCAAATCGTTGGCGAGCCAACTGTCCAGCAAAGGATATTTTGCGGGAGAGGCCGCTGGTATTCGTCTAGCTAGCCGACAAGGTGTGCATAGTCCCTCCTGAATAGCTTAGATGCTGATTGTGCAACTAGGTCCCGACAAGCTCGAGAAGCTTCCACCGCAAGCCGCTCCTTCGGCGGAAATTCAAGCTCTCAAAGCAAAGATGGCACGCACTCTGCAAGAAATACGGAGCAAAGTCAGCAGCTCGACTGTGCAGGATCTCAAGCGGCTCTTGTTCAGATGCGCTGCAACGCTCATTTCTCTGCCGAAAGTAGGCCTCTTTCGCAAAGTAAATTACTCCATCTGACGAGATGCATAGTGCGATTATGAGCTGCTGCATTACCTTGTCGCTCTTCCATTTGAAGTCTCCACGCCGTCAGCGGTCTCGGCAGGTATCGAGATATGGACTTGGGCCATCGCCGAGAAGCCCGACATCGAGGTCGGCCTGATGGGCGAAGTTTTGGCAGCCTGGTCTGACAGCATCAAGCAAGAGAAAGGCATCTTCTCTACCTCGCTCAAGTATGTTCTCAACACAATTCGGCTCCCCTCTCAATGTTTTCTAGTTACGATGACCCATTTTATCACCCAATTGCTTACAGCCCAACCGATAAGGAGCTCATTGATCGCGGGACAGTCAATGCACGCCGATTGCTCTCGCCTCATGCCCTGGTCTTGCAGATGTTGTTTAGCCGACTGCAGGCCGCGAGGTACCGCAGGCCTGGTGTCATGTTCTTAATACAACATCTGGTTCTGCGTTCTGCCAGAGCCCATAAACATATGAGGTTAGATGCTCATCACCATAACTGATCAGCTCGTCTCATGTATATAATGCAGCACACATGCCCTCGCTCGAGAACCGCGGTTTTCGTTCCTGCTCTTTGGCTTTGAGACTCTGAAGAGTTCTCATCTGGACTCTTACTGCGAGAATCTTTTACGAAATAACTTGTACTCTGCGGCATACTCTTGGTTTGCAGTGCGCCCACAGTATGAAGTAGTCCGACACTCAGGGATTCTATACTAACCTGGTTATCAGGTGGTCATATGGAGCAAATCGCGTTCAAGTCGACGCAGATATCAAAGTGGTGTCCGAGTTTCTTTCGTATCTGCAGACCGACTCTGTTCGAAATACCCTCGCTATATCCAGCTTGTCTCCTGCGCAATCTGCCTCGCGGACGTCACGTACGCCTTTTCTCCCTGTCCATATTCCTCAAGTTGTTCATGACAAGCTACAGAGTTTTCTGCCAAACTCCGCGGTCTTAATCATCCATTGAAGCTCCTCGTCGAGAACGAAATATTCCGTTTGAGTGTATGGGCCAATCCTACCAATGACCTAAAGCGGGGGTACCGATCACATTGAGCGGGGTTTGATAGAGGTACCTCAATCTCGAACCTTTTATATTATGAATCTTATGCGCTATGTAGGGTTCTTGGGCTTCGCTGGTGCGCATGGTCTGGCAGGTCGATCCAGCGATTGCTGTACACCTTTCGGAACGCTTCAAGGCTCCTGTTATCATCCGAACTGAGATCACCAAGCTGGTACGGTCCACCCCACGAGATGTTCTCGACATCCCCGAGGCTTTGCCGTTCCTTCTGGGTGATCGAATGGACTCCGCCATCCGTCGCGACCTAAAGGCTTGCAGATTCACTTTTGACCTCTTAGCCCGTGCTTACAGGTTTCACAGCACCTTCTTCTTTGGGCTCCTGTCCCGCCCATCATCGCCAACACCTACTTTGAGCGGCGATTCAAGAACGACCCTCTGATTCTGCAATACGCCCACAGGGTTCTGGAGCAGCACCCAGTGGAGCTGACGTTCTTCTTTGTCCCCCAGGTGGTTCAAGCGCTTCGGTATGACGATCTCGGTGAGTTTTTGTTTCTTTCCGGGGGACTCGCCTTGAGATTGGCCCCAGGATATGTAGCGCGTTTCATTTTCGAGACCGCGAAAATTTCCCAGCTGTTCTGTCACCAAATTATATGGAACATGAAAGCCAATTGTTTCAAGGACGACGCGGCTGAAGTCGTAAGTCGCTCCGTGCATTCGTTGTCGAGAGCTCTAAAGTGTTGTCGTAGGAGGATCCTATGAAACCTACCCTGGATCAAATGACCCAATCGGTTGTGGATGCATTGTCCGGGGAAGCCCGTGCATTCTACGACCGAGAGTTTGGCTTTTTCCACGAAGTGACGTCTATCTCTGGGAAGCTCAAACCATTTATCAAGAAAACAAAACCTGAGAAAAAGGCGCGCTTGTGTAGCTCTGTTTTGAACCCACGTTTTAAACAATCCTGCAGGCTAAAATTGACGAGGAAATGGCTAAACTGGCTGTTGATGTGGGGGTATACCTGCCCAGCAATCCGGATGGAAAGGTCGTTGACATTGACAAAAAGTCGGGGAGACCGTTGCAGAGTCACGCCAAGGTAGGCCGACTGCCGATTTCACAAACCGCTGTTCACTCGGATTCAAAGGCACCATTCATGGCCACTTTCAAAGTCCGGAAAGAAAGAATCGAGATCGTCGAAAACCCCGAATCACTCTTAGATGGGGACGACGATATTGAGACCCTGGTCGAGTACGATGTATGGCAACAAGCCATTTTCAAGGTTGGCGATGATTGCCGACAAGATGTTCTGGCGCTGCAAATTATTGCCATGTTCAAAAACATTTTCACGAGTGTCGGTCTGACGTTGTACTTGTTTCCTTATCGGGTTACTGCCACAGCTCCCGGTGTGAGTCTCGACTCTGGTGTAAAAGTCTCACCATTCTGATATAGTTTTAGTGTGGTATCATCGATGTGGTGCCCAACGCTACATCGCGAGACGAAATGGGCCGCGCCAAAGTCAACGACTTGTTGGACTTTTTTGTGGCTAAATACGGTGGCCAGGACACTATTGCCTTTCAGCGGGCTCGATTGAATTTCATTCAATCCATGGCGGCGTACTCTGTCGCCTGCTACATTCTCCAAATCAAAGATCGGCACAACGGCAACATTATGATCGACGGCGAGGGCCATATCGTCCACATCGGTGAGTGAATTCTGTCTATAAATCATTCATTTTTGACCTTTTCATCTAGACTTTGGTTTCTTGTTTGACATAGATGAGTCCCTACCATACTTTATGACATGCGTAAAAGCTTAGCGGTTTATTCTTGTGTTTACGGCCGGGAGTCAGTCGTCCAGCTCCGAGACTTGGCGCTTCTTTTTAACCTTTTCTTCTAGGGGGTCAAGTTTGAACCGCATTCATTCAAGCTCAACCACGAGATGGTCTTGCTCATGGGTGGCCGCTACTCGCAGGGCTACCAGCTCTTCCAACACCTCACTGTGAAGGCATTCCTTGCTATTCGTCCACATGCAGAACAGCTCATAAGTACGGTGCAACTGATGCTCGACACCGGCCTCCCGTCGTTCAAGGGGGAACCCACGATCAAGCGACTTCGCGACCGGTATGCCCTTGGTCTCAATGAACGCCAAGCGGCCGAGTGGATGATGAGCGTGGTCCGCAATGCCCACGAGAACGTTCGCAGTACGGCCTATGATGAGTTTCAACGAGTAGGTGATTCATGTCTTTTCCTTTTGTCTGCTGCTGACTTGTTTTCTCCGTAGCTTCAGAACGGTATGTTGTTGCCTTGCTCTGTTTCGGGCACCGCACTCAAGCATGACCTCAGGCATTCCATACAAGTAGACTTTCTCTTATTATGTTTAGAGATGCAAAACAGTTTTTTATTCCACTTGCAATCTATCATTGAGCTTTTGTGATATCTGAACAGTTGAAGCTTTCTGTGGTTTGCTACCCACATGGTAGAGGAACTTTTGCACAATCATGACCCGCAATGGCGGAGATGTGTTAGGTTTTCAGGATTCCTCCACCCATTGGTTGAAGTTTATGTGTCTGTTAGGAAAGACCTTGATGTGATGGTTGTGCGGAGTCGGAGAGAGCAGGGTGCAGCTTATATTAATTATGATGAGCTCGTGTACTAGCTGGAACCTGCAAGGGAGAAATAATTATCATTTGGCCAAAGGCACACCAAGAAACCTGGGTTTTCATGAGATAGAATCTATTTTACTTTGCGAATCGCGATCGGTTTCCTTCATCCTTTCAAAACCAATCTTCCGCGGGACATGAAGCAGGAAATTACAATATTCCGCGATGGCCAGATTTCTTTCACGGGAACCAGGAAGGAGGCATTTCTCGCAAAATATTCTCAGAGAAAAAAATTGGCTAACACCTGCAGCGACAAACGAGAGCCACGAGGGGATGAAAAAAAAAAAAATTCCAGGGAGGCAAAAAAGCGAAAAATATCGACAATGGCATGACTCGAACATGCGCCCACATAGTGGAACAGATAAGCGTGGGAAATTCGAATCTGTCGCGTTAACCACTCCGCCACATTGCCGCGAGATGTCTACGGAGGCTAGGAATACCTGTGGGATGGACTGCTGCTCAAAGTATAACATGCCGTGCGCGACACACAAGTCGGTGGGCGGCAGGCAGGACGACGGCTAGCCGTAACGAGGTTTAGCTTGCGAGACGGGCATTGGAGGTCGGTTAAAGTTGGCGGTGGCAGCGGACAAGTGGGTGGGGGGCTGAGGTGGAGCGAGTCGGCTGAGGTGGAGCGAGTCGAGAGGGTAGGGGCGGACGGGGCAGCTGTGGTGGAGATCATGTTCTTGTCTACGGTCAGGGTCAGTAGTTTGCAAAGCCGTGTGAACGCAAATAATATGGATCCGCCAAAGCGCGGAGGTGCTCGCTTCGAATTAGAACGGCAACTTCCGTGCACGCGGCTTGAGTTCGGCAGACTCGTAATCCAGCTGACAGTCATTGTCCCGATTTGGACAAACCCATTTCGCTCAATTCAGGCCTGCGTCCCGAATGACCTATACCATTAGAACCACGTAGTAAATACGAATGCAATGGAACAAAATTTGGCGGGATAGCTGCAGAATTGAACGTGTTTGAAGCCCTTCTTGTTTGCACTTTTTGCCAGCCGCTAATAGTAGAATTTGTTCTTGTTTTCCACCCCAGCTATCCCCCATCCTCGTCACGTCATCTCCTCTTTGATCCGGACCACCACCATCTCACCAAATTCCCACGACCAAAAATCTACGGCGGATGCAGAGGCAGCGTCCTAGGACCCCAACGCACCCACCACAGACGGGCGATCGGCGCCCCAGGTCGCCGGACCCCTCTCTCTCCTCTGGAGATGGAGAAAACCCACTAAGCTCCATCACCAAGTCTCCGCACACCGCACGCGTCATCAAGAGGGGCAGAACTGGTCCCGACACGACACCCGCCCTGGATGCCAACCACACCATGCCCAATAAACCAGCCCCCATACCTGTCTACATTACACCCGACATCGATGCGCGAGAACGCGGCATCGAACAAGCGACCCTGGCAACTCTCCTCGGGGACAAAGCCATAACAGACCTTGAGGCCGCATTGGCAGCGGCCCGAGGTTTCAGAGAATACGCTGACGAAACGAAACGAATATTCGGACACCTTCACTCGACTATAGCGCAAAAAGCCACCGCAGTGCTATCTTTAGCCTCGGAATTGCGCGACATTATGCAGCCTGTGGAGAACATGACTCCCGCACGAAGCACGGCCGATAACAACAAAAACGGCCAACAAAGCCCCACTACCTTCGCTGAAGCCGTAAAAGCTCAACAGGAACGGGCCCCACCGCGAGCCCCACGAGCCTCCAAGCCGAAGCGCCCGACCTCGGCGCCCAACCGGACTGCAACCAAGCCCCGCCAACGGACAGCACCCTCGACACGGCTGATCGTTGACCTCGCTGGCAGCCGACCCACGAAAAAACCTCAACCTGACTCGTTGTGCAAGGCCATCAACGACGCCCTTGGTGGACGACTGGCAGTCAGCACTGTTTCCACGTCGCGAAACGGAAACCTGGTTCTCCACGCGACAGCGCCGGCGTGCTCGGCGCAGGCCCTCGCGGCGCATCAAACGCTGATTTGGACGGCCTTGGCGCCGCTCCTCGGGGTTGCTGATGCCACCGAGCCACCATTTTACCCGGCGGACCCATGGCACAAGGTGGTCTTCCACTGAGTGCCCTTGATGCAGCCGGGGGTGCTGCCTCCCTCTCGTGACTTTGTCCGGGAAGTCGCGAAGCGCAACCAGCTCCCAGGAACGCAGTACCACATCGGGAACGTGCGGTTCTTGCATGGACAGGATCACGTCCCTCAGGAGGAAGTGACCGTCCGGGTTGACTTCATCGAGGAGGAAGATGCTCGCCGCTTCCTGCGTGAGGGTATCTTCTTGTTCGGGTCACACTGTCGGGCTACACGCTACAGGCCACGGGCAATAAGCGGCGGGCGGCCCTCTGGAGGTAACTAACCCCTGGTTTGCCAGGGTGTTCGTCTTTTATGTTTTATGGTCTATGGTCTATGGTTTATACAACGGCCATCAATTCCGCGACCCATACCTTCCACTCTCCCCTCACATCACTACCCTACACAACACCCGACCCAATACTCCCCGCCGAACCCCCAACGGTCATTGCCCTTTTCGGGGGCACCGCGTCTTAGTAGTTAGTGTACTTGTTGCGGTATAGAAATGCAGATTCCAAAAAAAAAAAAAAAAAAAAAATCCTCGTCACGTGTTAGGGTAGAATTGCTCGCTTCGCTCGCAATAACCTTGGGGATGGACGCGGGCGTTAGAGGGGCTGTCGGGCGGGAACATGGGGATACCAACGGCAGGCTAGGGAGGTGGAAGAGGGGGGAAGGGCTTGCGGACTCGGCAGTAGTAGTGGCGAGAACGTCGACAGGCACGTCAGCTGGTCCAGAGTGTGCTGAGTGTGCGAAAGGCACCGGTGCGGGCATGGGTGCAGATCTAGCGCCTGAGATGCGCGCGGCAATCGGTGCGGGGGGGGGCAGGTGCTGATCCAAGGGAGGAGGTAGGTACGCCGTCCGTGGCTTTACGTGCGGGGGAGGCAGGAGAGGAGGAGAGTGCGGTAGGCGATGCAAGTGTGCATGGAGAGGTGGACGTGCCGAACCCAAACCCGGACGCAGAGGTGGGCAAGAACATGGGCGTGCTGGGCAACATCCATTGCGTGGTGGGCGAGGAGCTGGAGATTTACTTACCCCTCATAGGATCATTCTTGCTGCCAGAGCAGATTCAAAAGATAGGCACATATTTAGTGAATGAAAGAAAAGTGTCTGGTTTCAAGGTCTTGTGTCCAAATGAGTATCATAGTATGTATCTACCATTCCACTCAGGTTGTGTGCTCAATGTTGCCGGATATTTCTCTGCCTCGGATTGGGTTTGATACCAAGTGATATTGATGTAACTCATCACTTGTTCAGAAACAGTGCAGGAAATTGAAGGAGCTGAGATTTCTACCAGAGATTTAGTGGATTCTTGAGTGTTCTACATATACATGAAGTCATGAAGTATGTATACTAGAATTACTGGAAGTATGTATACTAGAATTACTGAAAGTATTTGCCTGTGTGTTCTCCTCATCTTGCAGTGCAACAAGCCCTCTTGGGCTGAAACAGTGTCGGGATGTGTGCTTCCCAACAAGCGTGTCCGGACTTCTACAACTTCCATGTATAACTGGGCTGCCTCTTTCAATTTCCCAAGACCACACTGGCTTTTTGCCAGGTTGATCATTGCAGTCAAAGTATGAGGATGTTCAGGACCCAAGGTCTGCCTCCTCTTTGCCACCACAACCACCTGAAGTGCCTCTGACTCTGTTAATCTCCCGAGATCCCGATATGTGTTGGCCAGATTTCCCATAGCACTCAGATTATGAGGATGTTCAGGATGCAAGGTTTGCTGGCTCTTTTCTAACACAACCACCTGAAGTGCCTCTGCCTCTGTCAATCTCCCGAGATCCCGATATGTGTTGGCCAGATGTCCCATGGCATCCATGGTATAAAAATGTTCAGGACCCAAGGTCTGCTGGCTCTTTTCTAACACAATCACTTGAAGGGCCTCTGCCTCTGTCAATCTCCCCAGCTTCCAATATGTCTGGGCCAGATTTCCCATGGCAATCAGAGTATGAGAATGTTCACTGCCTAAGATCTGCTTCCTTTTCTCCAGAACAGCCACCTGAAGTGCCTCTGCCTCTGAGAGTTTCCCAAGATCCCGATATGTCATGGCCAGATTGTTCATGGCCACCAGAGTATCAGAATGTTCACTGCCTGAGGTCTCCTTCCTCTTTTCCAGAACAGCCACCTGAAGTCCCTTTGCCTCTGAGAATTTCCCAAGATGCCGATATGTGATGGCCAGATTCCCCATGGCAGTCAGAGTATCAGGATGTGCACTGCCTGAGGTCTGCTTCCTCTTCTCCAGAACAGCCATCTGAAGTGCCTCTGCCTCTGAGAATTTCCCAAGATCCCGATATGTGTAGGCCAGATTTCCCATGGTGGTCAGAGTATCAGGATGTTCACTGCCTGAGGTCTGCTTCATCTTTTCCAGAACAGCCACCTGAAGTGCCTCTGCCTCTGAGAATTTCCCAAGACCTCTATATGTGTTGGCCAGATATCCCATGGCATTGAGAGTATTAGGATGCTCAGCACCCAAAGAGGACTTGGCCTTTTCCAGCAAATCTGTACAGAGTTCCTGGGCACGCTGATAGTTCCCAGAGTGATAGTATATCATATGATATGGAAGGAGAAATTTGGTAGCAAGTTGTGAATCTGACTGAAGAACAGTGTTGAGGTGAGGGAGAAGCCTCATGGTGAACAGTGTGTCCTTCAAAGCTACTGACATCGCAAGTAGGGTTGCTGCACACTCTCGAATGGGATCCATATTGAGGACAGTATCCCTGCTCCAGCTATGCACAAGAGGGTGGATTGAGAAAAGGCTTGTATTGGGATCTTGGTTGATCAAGGAATATTCCTGAAGTTCTGCAGCCATCTCTGAAAAGCCCAGTGTATCCCACAACCCAGCAGGGGTCAAAAACTGGCTCAGAAACTCTTGAGGTTCCTTCACTTGTTCCTGTGTAAGCACTAAAGAATGTGGAATACAAGAGGCAGCATTTGAAAATATCCCCTCGGAAATCCCCTCGTGGTGGAAAAATGAGCACAGCTGCAAGAATTGGGCTGCTGGTGTGTTCAGACACTTGAAGCTAATGTCCCATGTGGTATACACTGATAAAGCATATTTATCATGGGACTGGACAGGCACTTCACTGAGAAGTCGAGTGTGATTGTGCTCATAAAGGGCAAGGTATCTTCTGAGTGCCCCCCCAGTTTTTGAAATATATGCACCTGCTTGGACCACAGCAAGTGGGAAACAGTAGAGCACCTTGAGAAGTTAGCTATTGAATACCACCATAGCCAAACAAATACCTTGACAATCTCAGTTGCAAGCATTTCATTCTCACTTGTGGCCGCTTCAGCGGCACTAACAAGTAGAAGCTTCACTGCA